ATCCAACGTCTTAAATTCAGTGCGGCATTACTTTTAACCACATACAAAATACTTTACGACTGAAAGCAGAGCAGTGAATGTAAGTCGAATGTTGTAGTTATACTTTTCTACTTGTTTTGTTAAAATATAGACTCTATTGAGTCACTTTAAAGTTATTCAAAATTCTTTTCATTTTACTCCAAGTGAACCTTTCCAACCTTTGATTCCAAATACTTTTGGGGTTTCGAAAATTGAAGTAAAAGGGGACCTTTGTAAATGGGTTTTGTGCTTGAATTCTATTCCTTAATTTCGAGACGATCTTTGAATTTAATCTTGTTTCTTTGGTTCAGTATATTGAATTTTAATTTAATAAAGTTGTGTCAAGTAACCCATTCTTGACGTAACACTTTCAATGAATTCCACGATCGAACCCTGGACAATGCGACATACAATTGACCGTGATTGAAGACATCTTTGCGCAAATCTAGTCCGATTTTATCAAAAGTTTGTCCCTGGGATTTATTGATAGTCATAGCAAATGCTAATCTCACTGGAAACTGCCGTCTTTTAAAGATGAAAGGGTAAACATTTTCACAATACAATGTGATGCGATGTATGAAAACAATACATCCTTGCTTGTCACCTGTTAGAATTTCACATTTAAGTATATTGTTTCCGAGTTCTAAAACTTTGAAGTCGAGTTCCATTACAGAGTCCCTCTTTTATACTTAAGTTCCTAATCAACATAATTATAGCGTTTTGTTGTAATCGCAATTCATATGGTGGAAAATTAGGTGGATTCAACGTATTTAAATATTCTGGAAAAAGCACAACGTCTATATCTCCATTATCGCAGTTGTCAATACTATCTATACAGCTATAGATTTTTTCTGTCGTTTTTTCCAATAATTCCACGACTTGATTATTGATTTCATCGACGTCTACATTTCGGGCAGATAAGATGGCATATTTTGCTAATAATCCATATTCACGGTTTCTAATAATGCCACTGAAAATAGTTGAAGTGTTATTTAGGATTGAAATAATNATTTCCCAATCACTTTCTTTAGGATTTACTTGATGTCTGCTTATCACATTGACTGCATATGCAATGTCTGGTCTCGTAGCACCAGCCAAATATAAAAGACTACCTACAGCCTCTCTGTAAGGGATGTTTGCTTTTGTTTCTGTCCTTTCTAAAGTCCCATTATATTCTGTTTCTCTTAATTTTCTCTTATTATTAGCTACTTGAGAAGTATTCATTGGTGTACGTTGTGGATGTGCTTTATCAAAGCCAAACCTACTGAATATNTCAGTTTAATCTCATTAGTTTTTCCATCTCGCCAATTTTATCTCTCCAAGGAGGTCTCANTCCTCTCCAGTCTTCTTCTCTCCTGGTAATATATTCTCGTTCATCACAAAATATCTTATTTGGTAACTTTATCTCGCCTGAATATTCTCGCCAGGTAAATTTCGTCAGTTTAATCTCATTAGTTTTTCCATCTCGCCAATTTTATCTCTCCAAGGAGGTCTCACCAAATTAGTTATTTCCTAGACAAACAGAAAGAAAAATAATTTAAATATTTACTTTCATTATTACGTCCATCAAACGCTTGTGTTCCAAACGTCAATGGTTTGGTGAAAACATCAGCTAGCTGATCCCTTGAGCCAATCCAAATGGTTTTATATAATTCTTTTTAACACATTCCTTTACATAATGTAATTTGTTCTCTACAATGTGTCTCAATTTCATTCCTCCATTTGTTTCTGCACTCACAATAGCAGATTTATTATCACACCTTAAGATCATTGGAACAGGAGGATCAACCAGTATCAGTTTCAAAGAGTTGTGCAACGACATCATTTCTCGACTCGCCTCGCTCATTGCAACATACTCAGCTTCACACGTAGAAAGTGCTACTGTAGTTTGTTTGTGAGTTCGCCAAATGATCGAATCACCAAACAGTCTAATCACAAATCCACAAGTTGTGATTGAATCTTTACAATCAGAAAAACTCGCATCAGAATAACCCTGAATGTCATCGGTCTCACCTGAATATCTCAGACCCAAGCCCGTAGTACCTCTCAGATACCGAAAAATTCTTTTTGCCATTTCCCAATCACTTTCTTTAGGATTTACTTGATGTCTGCTTATCACATTGACTGCATATGCAATGTCTGGTCTCGTAGCACCAGCCAAATATAAAAGACTACCTACAGCCTCTCTGTAAGGGATGTTTGCTTTTGTTTCTGTCCTTTCTAAAGTCCCATTATATTCTGTTTCTCTTAATTTTCTCTTATTATTAGCTACTTGAGAAGTATTCATTGGTGTACGTTGTGGATGTGCTTTATCAAAGCCAAACCTACTGAATATCTTTTGAATATATTTTTTCTGATTTAATTTAATAATCTGATTTTCTCTGCCTCGCCTAATAGTCATGCTCAGGAATTCCTTGCGTTCTCCCAGGACTGTCATTTCAAATTCGCTACATAAATTACTCTTTACTTCAACCAATTTATCGTTATCATTACTCGCCAATAACATATCATCTACATAAAGTAGCAGAAGCAAGAACTTGTCTTCATCTCGCCAAGTGAATAAACAAGGTTCTAAATCCGAGTTCTGCAGACCCATACTCAAAGCTACTTCAGTGAATTTTACATTCCATCGTTTGGGACTGATACGAAGACCATAAAGTGCTTTCTCCAATTTGCACACATTTTCTTGCCCATCATTGTCAGTATGATTAGTTCCTTCTGGAATTTCCATGTAAATTTCCTCATCTATCACCCCATTGAGGAAAGCAGTTTTAACATCTAGCTGACACACCTCTAGATTATATTTGTTTATAATTGATATAACTATTCTCACTAAAGGTAAACGAGCTACTGGAGCATAAGTTTCCCTTAATTCATAAATGTTCTTATCCTTGAAACCTCTGATTACTAGCCTCGCTTTGAATCTTATTTTTCCATTTGCCTCATTTTTACACTTGAAAACCCATTTTGAATCAATGACATTTAATCTTTTTCCATTCATCATACTTAGAGGTCTTTTAACAATTTTCCATATTTGATTTCTTTCTAACGAGCTCAATTCTTCATCAACCGCATTTAACCAAGAATCTTTATTTTTACTATTTATAGCTTCTCGATAATTTGAGGGATCTTCATTTATGCTTGATAAAAGTGCATGATACACTTCATCTTCCTTTTGTGCTGAATCTATCTCGCCTATATTACTGATAACACTAGTGAAGGNGAATCTTCCTCTTTTACTTGGACCATATGTTTCACCTCTCATTGGTCTTTCGTTCCTCTATCGTTACTTCTATGTTGATTTTGATAATTGTTTCGATAATCAANTTTATTAAGTTTTCACTCCCTTTTTCATTATGCTTTTCTTCCTTTGCCTTATCTTCAATTTTATTTTTCTTCCTCATTAGNTCTTTTGAATATATTTTTTCTGATTTAATTTAATAATCTGATTTTCTCTGCCTCGCCTAATAGTCATGCTCAGGAATTCCTTGCGTTCTCCCAGGACTGTCATTTCAAATTCGCNTTCTTTCCTTGGTCTACCTCTTTTGCGTTTTATCTCTCCCTCTGGTTTTGAAGAATCCTCGGTCTCACCTCGATTCTTTTCCGAACTCAACAAACCATTCATCATTATTCTCCATTTCTCCATAGTCTGGGAAATCTTTGATACCGTTTCCCTTGTATTTATCTCCATACACCAATTTTTCTTTGAATTTAACATGTCTACTTTCATAATATTTTCCTAGCTCTGGCTTTAAGAGTTGATACCCTGTTGGAGTATATCCCACCGAGACCATACCCACACCTCGAGGTCCAAACTTTGGGCCAGCATTTCTAGCAATTTTTACATAACTTAGACTACCGAATCTTTTAATTTGATAAACATCAAAGCTGTGATCAGGTGCGAATCTTTCTAACGGATATCCCATGGTAATTCATCAACATCTTGCAATTTCCTGTCCCACATGGTGTAATCAAAATTTGATTGTTTATAGGGAATATTTTCTTTAGTAATTATTTTCTCTTTTATTAAGTTTTCACTCCCTTTTTCATTATGCTTTTCTTCCTTTGCCTTATCTTCAATTTTATTTTTCTTCCTCATTAGTCTTATCAATTTCGTCTGTTTTCTCACTTGTTTCATTCTGTAAATTTGCTGTGACACTTCTGGTAAGATATCTTTTCACCTCATTCTTACCCCCAGTGACATCAGCAACATTTGCTACTACTCGCCTGTTTATTTGCTTGAAAGAATTCTTACTGATAGAGTTTGACTTTACTATTTCTAAATCGATTATCCAGTAAGGTTTTCTGTAAATCCCCGAGATGAAAAGTTCATTCGACAGTGGATCAAATATATCAATTTTCTTGTCATCTAAGTAGATTGCTAATCCCATTTCGGCAAATTTTCTTAATGATAGTAGATTTGCTTTAAGAGCTTCTGAAAAAAATAACTTTGTCAATTTCTAGTAATTTACTACTCGCCAGTTCAATTTCTATTTTTCCTGCTCCCTCCGTTCTTAAGTCCGCTGACTCATTTTTATTAGCACACCTAATTACTCCACAATCTAATTCATTGAATGTTTTCAATACAACCCTTGAGTTCGTTAATTGCTCGGTCGCGCCTGAATCTGCTAGAAAGTCTCCCAGAAACTTATTTCCATTTGTCTGTTGACTATCTGCATAAAATATTTCAGCACTTGATTGATCATAATATTCTTTTTCCTTACCTTGACTGGAGTTATTTTTCTCTGTAGTTTTGTCGGAATTGGATTTCTTGTTTGATTGGTGAGATGACTTAAGCCCGTGTTTGTTCTCGCCTCTTTTATAAGAGAACTGACTCTTATTGAATCTTCCTCTTTTACTTGGACCATATGTTTCACCTCTCATTGGTCTTTCGTTCCTCTATCGTTACTTCTATGTTGATTTTGATAATTGTTTCGATAATCAATTTTTGAATTAGAATTGTACCTTGGAGTCTGTTTAGAGTATCCTGAGCCACTTGGTGTATTTTCATTGTGAGTTATGTTTGTGCAATCTCTCGCCTTATGATTCCCAAACTGGTTGCACCTTAGCACAAGTATCCTTTCCCTTTATTGGGACAGTCTGGTCCCTTGTGTCCATATGCCTGATAAGCAAAACACCTTTGCCCCTTGTGCCGTGCAAAATTAGCAGTTTTAATATCAGAATCTGAGAGCTCACTTTTCATAGTAGCTTCTTCTTCTAATATCGCAATTTTCAACTCGCCAAAAGTCAAGCCCACACCTACAGCTTTCCTTCTTACTTTTTCAATGATTTTAATGTTGGGAAAAGCTTTTATTACTGCGTTGTAGAATGCATCTTTCTTTTCGCTTTCACTCAAAGGAATGGTGTCAGGAGCATTTTCATAACTTGCAATTTTCTCATCAAACATATTGTTAAACTCGCCAGCTGTCATTTTAGCAGGATTGTATCTCATATTATAGAGATCTTGTCTCACCAAGTGTGAAGTTATATTAAGCTCAGCCATTTTCAATTCTTTCGGTTTCTTCAATATTTCTTTTAGATCTTGTAATTTGACCATTTTAGGGTGATAACTTCTGTCCAAATGATTGATCAGAATTTCACTAACTTTGTGCTTCTGTTCGACAGGAGTTTCCTCGTCCACAGTAACCAGAATGTTATCATCAATGATGTGTAAAAGTTTATTAGTTTTAATTTCTGACGAGAAATAATCATAGAAATGTTCATACTTCATTTTACTGTCCATTTTGTAATCTCTTTGGAAACTCATTCCCTTGTTAAGCAATTCAATTTGTAACTTATTGGTTACCTCGCCAGCTAATTGACTCAAAGGATTTAGATTGTTGACTTGACTTGACTTTGTCTGATTAACTTCATTAATCTGTTTATTGACTATTGAACTAATTTGACTTTCTTGATTTGTATGCTCATCTGACATCACTCCTCCATTTTTGTCATTGTGCTTTTTGTCCAAGGCACTCAACAGCTCCTGTACTTCCCTTTTGTCTTGGGCTCTCGCCTCAGCATACAGTCTCACTTGGTTTCTATTCTCTGTTAGACCTTCATACCGTGCTTTTGTTGAAGCTATATTTGAGCTACATAGCTTTTCCGCCATGCTCTTCAACTCAGCCAACTGTGTCTACAGAGACTGTTTTAACAGTCTAGTTGCCGTTAGGCTCAACTGATTCATCGTCTAGATTAGAATTTACCAATTTCAATTTAATATTTACTTTATTATCTGCTGTAATCTTGGGTTTCAGTTTGATTTGGTCAGTTTTGTCAACATTAATATTACCTGTGGTTTTCTCGCCTCCACTTATCTCGCCGCCATTTAACTCGCCTCCAGTCAATTCGCTTGACCTGGACTCGCCTGTGGCCCTCGCCTCTGCATTTACCAAATCTTCACTCATTTCACTTGACCCATTCTCGATCACAGCTGTTGTTGACACGTGACTCTTCGGACCGTAACCTGGTAGATACATTGGCTTTTGTTCAGCCAACAATGCAGATTCTAA